AGCGTTTACCTTTTGTAGATAAATTCTTACAAAAGTATTAATTTTCATATAAATGGCAAACAGTTTCTACTAAAATCCATTGAAAATTGCCGAATTTGGCTCAGTGTAGGGCTTGCAGACTGTAGCTCGTTTAACGAAGTTGTCGTCCAGCTGTCATGTGCGCTTTTGCTGCTGCTGCTGATGGTCCTGCGGTTCTGCAACTTTTCATGATGGGCCGGCCAAAAAATTACACATGTAAATTGCATGTGCAGACCGCAAAACGAGTTGGCCCGTGTTGTGTGTGTGTGTGTGTGTGTGTGTGGGCCCCAAATAAGGTGTCAATAAATTCTGTTGCTGCTGCTGTTGGTGCTTCTGCTGGTGCTGCTGCTACTGTTTGGTGCTGCTGCTGCTGTTGTTGCCTTCAAGCGTTTAATTTGCAAGTGTCAAATGTCAATAGATTGCTGTCAGATGCTTGTCGCTGCATTAAAGAGCGTTGTTATGGCCCGAAGCGGTTGGCAATGATGAAATGATGATGGTGTTGGTTGTGGCGATGACAAAACCGACTAAGCTCAAGTCAAACAATCAACCATATGGAGGTAGGAGGCTGCAATGGTGGCTAGGGCGATGGAAGATCCTTGGTCAGTGACCACACACATGTCATCCTGAATGGGTACAACTTGATGTCAGACCTTTTGTGGGGCTATTTGCATTAAATTCTGAGGCCAGCTGCTGTGAGCTGACCCAAAGTTCCTGCTCCTGCTGCTGACCCAAAAGCTTTAATTACAATGCACGCACTCCCCCTGGCACTGCCCCTGGTACTGCCCCTGGCACTTCCCCTGCCCCTGCCACTGCCATTGCCTTTGTCCTGGCTTGCCTCGTTCCCCATCTAAATCTATTATTTGGCAACATTCAAGCGTGAGGTGAGGCTTGGGTGGGCGATTAAAAATTAATTTGACACTTTGCGCTTGCATGTCAAAGTATGCGAGAGGGCCCTGTCCAAAAACTTTTGCCGAGCGCTTAGCTTGCATAATAATTAATGAATGCTGTGGGTGGGGAAAGCGGGAGAGAGGAAAAACTGCAATGGCCATAATTAACGCGTTTCGTGTGCGACAAATGATGGTGCTCAGACTCCTTTCTGGCCGGGTGCTGGGGTGTGACGGGGGGACGTGTTTTGCCTCACATTATTTTTAATGGGTTTGTGCGTGTTGTATTTGTATTTGTATTTGTAGCGGGCTATTACTATTAACTTGTTGCCTCCACCGTCCGTGCTCATGCAAGAAAGCCATTTTCCCATAGATCGTTGTCGCCATCTTGGCCAACGTGGCGCATGATTATTATTTGCTACTCGAGTTTCCTTTCATGGCTATGCATTTTCGCGCCTTCCAGAGTGATGTTTGATTGGCAAATGACGGACCTCATGCCAGGAGGTTAATTATAGCGATTCCTTTACCATAATTGGTCCGATGGAGCTGCCTTTGGCAGAGTCCGGCTCCCGCATAAGTCTTTCAATTTTCTTTGGCACGTGATTGCCACTGAGCCACTAAGCCCCGTTGACATCCACGCCACTCACGTGCATCGATAGCCAGCTTACAGCTACTTAAGCTGCTTCAATCCCTTTAGCAGCGGTTTCCTATCGATGTCACGTGTGACCTCCGCTTGTGTCAGTTGTCCTCAACATTTAGCATTTTTTGGCATGTTGGTTGCGGAGTCGCGGCGGTTACGGTAAACATGGCCAAGAAATAAGCTTCATCGGATTAAAATATTATGCTGACATTTTGGCCAACTACTTATACCTTGTACCATACGGAAATTGTGTCCAATTGAATGATGGAATTTTCCCTTCCTTCAGATTCTTCACAGCTTAGAGTTCTTGAGGGTTCTGAGAGTTCTGAGTGCACTGTCCACCGGTGCAGTATCTGGGGAAACGATTACCTAAGAAAAGCTGATGAAATTTGTACATTTATTGTACGAGTAAATGCCATCCAAATTAGCCTCCTCGCCAGTAGCTGAAGTGAAACTTTGGTCGCAACGCCATCTGTCACTGAGGGAGTTCTCTTGTATCTAATTCTTCAAAGGCTTTTGGAAGGGGAAAGTAAATGCTGAAATGCAACGAAAACTTTGCTTGAAAAGGGAGGAATGGATGCATCCCAGGAGCAGAGGATGTCGGACTCAAGGCTGTCGCCAAGGTAGGGCATTGCCCCAGCAGATACGGCAGGAGCAGCTCCTAATGAATTACTTTGCAGAATTATTTTGCCATTTGAACGTGGACTAGGGATCAGTTGAAGCCAGTTGGGATTTATTTAGGACTTATAGTTTATTTTTATTATAAAATTTTCGCAAATATAACTTTAACATGCATAAAGGGGCAGACAGCGGGGAGCTTGAAAAAAAGAAGTGATAAATATATTCCAAGCAGCTGCTGCCATCTGGAAATGCATAATTGTCGCGCCTGATCGATGGGGCTCATAAATTGGCTGACTGGCAATGACCTAAAGCATATTTAATTATTTAATTAGCACTATCTAAAGAGCGCATCTATAATTTTATGCATCGACAAGCATTAATGGCGTCATAATAATATTAATATGTGGCCGACAGCCCCAACTGCATGCAAGCTGTGCTTTTCCCATAATTATATGCCACTCCCGCCCCACTGGAAGTACTGTTGCAGTTGCAGTTGCAGTTTCAGTTTCCATAGCAGCAGCTGGCACTGCAACAGTGCTGCCACGAGTGCGATGAATACTCTTACGTATGCAAAGCCGATTGAGAGCAGTGCATAGAAATTGCTTTGATTTCACAGTTCATTGAAGTGCATTGAATACACTATGGAAAAAATATTAAGTTAAATGTATAGTGTCCCAAAAGAAAATGATTCAATAAGATTGTGTATGAGGTGTTTGTAACAATGTTGTTGTACCATTTCCTTGGTACACGAATTTCTTAGCGGGGCTTTAAAAAGTGGATCCAGCAATAAGTTCATCTAAATCATTATTTTTTGTTCACATTGTCTTTGGCATGATCTTATTATCAGTTTCTAGTTACCTTTAGAATATTTTCCTCAGGAGTTTTCCCTCAGTGTAGGGAATTATTTGCCATTGTACTAAGGAGCAAAAGTGGAGGAGAAACTTACAAAGAGAAGGATATTTCAAAGCAAAGAGCTTTCCAATTAGTCAGAAAATGCACTCCTTCCTCAATGTATGTTAAGATTCTGACCTAAGAATCGAAGAGCTAAATTGCACTAACCCTTCGTGGGAACACATTATAAATTAAAACGAGGGGGAACGTTGTGAGTTGCTGCGGACCCCGCAACTCTACATTTATTCCCGATACCTAGTCAGTATGGCTCTCCTCCGGCAGACGCCGGTAATATGAAGCGACACGACGCAGAGTGCGTGCGAAAGCGCTGCGTAGCCACTGCAAATTGATTTTTAGTTTTCTCGAATCTTCAATATTGTGGATGCCACAGATTTTCGTCTTTTGTTGGTGGCTGAATTTTGAGATATACGTTTTATAGTGAGGTCTAACAGGAGTGTGGATACCAAATTTGGTTGCTCTAGCCTTAATAGTCTCTGAGATCTGTGGATGCCCCAGACTTTCGTCCATTGCGCGGGCGGAAGGGGGTGTGGCGAAATTTTGACACAAAATGGTCAAGGTTCGATATCACAGGAGTGTGGATACCAAATTTTGGTTGCTCTAGCTTTTATAGTCTCTGAGATCCTGGAACTCACATTTTGCAATAGGCAAAACCGACCATGAAACCTGTGTGTTAGAGAGATACAGAGCGAGAAGTAATGAAACTGTTTTCTTGATTCTGGCTATAATAATTATACGATCTGGCTCAGATTTTACACTCTAGAACATATAGTCATCCTCTACGATTCTGCTTTTTCAGTTTTTCTCGTATCTGTGAATTTGTGGATGCCACAGATTTTCGCCCTTTGTGGGGGCGGGGCAAATTTTTGAAATATACTTGTAGCAGTGACATATCACAGAAGTACGGATATAAAACGTCGTTGCTCTAGCTTTTATAGTCTTTGAGCACTAGACGCTGATAGGGACGGAAAGGCAGACAGGGCTCAATCGACCCGGCTATTGATGCTGATTAAGAATATATATACTTTATGGGGTCGGAAACGATTCTTTCTGGACATTATATAAATTCATTTTCACCACAAATCTAATATACCCCTATACTCATTTTGAGTATTGGGTATAAAAATTGGTCATAGAAAGAGAGCATAATCAGTGCTAGGATTGAAGCTACTGAATTCTACTGTTCATATTTCAAATTGTATATTGAAAAAATTGTAATAAATTTGCAGGAGCACAGCGTTGATTGATTGCGTTCCACGCAGCCACGCAGCCATACAGCCAAACATCAGCCCCAGCATTAGCCCCAGCCCTAGCCCTAGCCCCAGCCCCACTTCAAGGCAATTGAGTTATGTTGAGCATTTCAAATATTTCACTTTTGTCTGCGCGAATTCGCTGATGCGGGCATGTCAGAAGAAACGCAATTTTGAATTGAATTTGACATGTATTTTTTTTTTTTGCCAAGCATTATTTGACTTTTATGACATGTTTCCCTCCGCAGAGCAGAACAGAAGTCACTTTCCCTACACTCCACTCGTATCGTGTGCGTGCTGCAACGCCCACAAAAAATAAAGTGTTCGGATCGGCCCAGCCTCCTGGGGATGCATCCGCCCACATTCGATATTCGAAAAAGTTTAGTCGCTGCCACATACAATCATCGCTTAATATATATGTTTCTGGTTTTTAGTTTTCATTTGAGATTTCGCCATCAATTGGTGCTCTGTATGCTGTCATTTATTCATTTGTCCGCGCTCGCGTGCTGCCAAATGCATTCGCAATTCGATTGCAATTGCAACCTGCAATTAGTGTGCGTTTGGAGTGTCTCTAATGACAGTCATCATGGTTCAATATCGTATCGCATCTGTAGCATTGGGCTGCAAATCTCATAAAAGGCCAGTCCTTTGCCGTCAGTCGGCTCAGTGTTTTTGAAAACTTGTTGCCTGAAAATGATGAAATCTGTTGCTCTTCTCATGCTGCTACTTGGCTGTGTAGCTGCCCAGGGACCCAGACGGGATGCTGAGGTTTGTAGTGGATTCATGACACTTGTGCCATTTATCAGTTATTATCTCTCGCCGCAGTATCCACCGCCAGCAATTCTAAAATTGGCCCAACACTTCCACGATATTTGTGCCCCAAAAACTGGTGTCACTGATGGTAGGTCCTACTCTTTACCATTTTTTCGATTACTCTTCAATTTCTGTCTCTTTAGCGGCCATCAAGGAGTTCAGCGACGGAGAGATACACGAGGACGAGAATCTCAAGTGCTACATGAACTGTCTCTTCCACGAGTTCGAAGTGGTCGATGATAATGGCGATGTACATATGGAGAAGCTATTCAATGCCGTTCCCTCGGAAAAGCTGCGCAACGTATTGATGGAGGCCTCCAAGGGTTGCATCCATCCGGAGGGCGACACCTTGTGCCACAAGGCCTGGTGGTTCCATCAATGCTGGAAGAAGGCTGATCCTGTCCACTATTTCTTGGTCTAAGATGTAAATGTCTTTGCAATATTTATGTTTATGTGAATGTGTGTTTATATTAAGCTTAATAAATGGTTAAAGGTTCATTTAAACATTATTCAGTACCTTATATGAAGATATGAAGATTTTACAGATAGGAGATGAGATTCTCAAAGAGATAGAGAGAGAGAGGCAATTTTTTAATCTTAAAATGTTCACTAAAATTGGGGCTTAATTGGTTACGAAGCTCTACAGCTCTCGAGTTTATTTCTGTTTCTTCCCCGACTGTGTTTACCTGCTGGTAGCTTAGATAATGAAGCAGCATCCTTCTGGCCCACTTCTGTAGCTATTCGAACAAGTTCAAGTGAGCTTTCACTTAAGACGAACTCATTGCTCCTGGTCTAGTCTGGACTGAGTGCAGGGCTAGTTAACAAAGGCTTTGGTTGCAATTGTGGGATTGGCTTTACCTTGATTACCTTTTGCATACTGTGCAGCTTTCTCTTTCTCATTTCCCCGTCTGCGTCTGGCCTGACTTGACCCACAAACCATTTCCATTTTGTATGGGCTTGTCGGTGGGGCAGAACTTCAAAATTTTCCACCTAATGATTAAAGACACGCCAGTGGGTGTGGCAATCGAGTTGTACATGCACCTTACTCGCAATAGCATATGGGGGGAATGAATAGAGACATTCGCTTCGGCATGGGGCGTCAATTGGTTCGGTAACTGCAGCAGCAGCAACGGCAGCGGAAGCGGCAGCGTCAGAACTTGGCCAAAATCAATATAAAAGCCGAATGCTGAAAACGGCAATAAAGCAAATTCAATTGTGACTGCGGCTGTCAAACAGTTCTTGCGTGCCGTGTACAGTATCGAATTTTCCCCCTTAACTACTGGTACTACATCGTAGGTATAGCACAAAAGTGGAGAAGGGTAAAGGACTTGCCCTGCCACGGCCAGGAGCAGGAGCAGGAGCAGGCGCAGGAGTAGAACGACCAGGACGAAGGCGAGCTCCAGTGCGAGGTGGAAGCTTGCGCAAGCATAGGCAAAGGACGCGTTGCAACACGAAAATTGAAACGGCAATTAAAAAACCATCCATCGTTCATGCCGCACACAACTGTGATACGAACATACATTCCGTGTGTAGCACAAAGATGTGTGTGTGTGTGTTGTTGCTGTAATTTCATTCGTCCTCTTTCTGTGTGTTGTGTGTGTGTGTGTGTGTGTGTATGTGTATGTGAGAAAGAGAGACGACGGGGGCAATGTCGTTTTGTGGTTTTGTTCCGGTTTCTGCGATGACATTTGATGAAACAAAAGTGACAGTTGTGCACAAGTTGAAGTCTTTGTTTTGTGTATTTCGGTTTTACAATTTCAAAAGAACAGAACGAACCGATGGGAAATTTTATATTTTGATACCCTCCGTTCGTTGGAATTATGAAGGTATATAGTAATATTGGAATGATAGATCGTTTCAAACCATGTAGATTGCGTACTTTACTCCTTCCAAATGTGGCATGCTTTGAAAATAGTCAGTTTTTATTGAGTTCTAGCAAAAAGCAATCCGTCAATAATGAATTTGATTGATTAATGATTAATTGCGTGTGGCCCAAAAAAGCGGAGTCGGTCCCCAGAATCCAACAACAATAAACACAGTCTTTATTGAAGCGCAGAGGAAACTAACTTCTCGTCCGTAGATTCTGACAACAAAATACACAGTCTTTCACGAAACCCAAAGTCGGTCCCAAGAAAGCAAAAACAAAATATGTTTTATTCTGCATATGCTGTTATCAGAAGAAATGCTTTAAAATAGTGCGAACGATTGCTTAAACTAGGCAATGTTTTAGGGTCGACCTGAGCTAAGGCACGTTGTAGTACAGACCAAGGATTGTGGACGGACTGTGGCATGAGGCATGCCACGTAGACCATGTGTTTGTCAGAAGTAACACGGCAATTGTAGACTTGTGACGACTTTGCTGACATCTCGGGCACAGTTCCGTTTCCGTTTTGGGGAGCGTTTTTTGTTCGCCCATCAGCCAGCGGTTGGAATTAATTTAGCGTGCGCTGAGCCAACAAGAAACAAATGATTTTTTGTTGGTTTCTCCATGGCGTCCAAAAATACAGAAACAAAAACAAAATATACAAAAAAAAAAAAAAATACAAACAACTGAAATGAAAAGAAAAACGCGAGGGCTTAGAAAACCGTCGCACAAATACACTCCGACGCACACACACAATTACACACATTGTCATTGTCCAGCTGTCACGCGTGGCACATCGTCCTCAACAGCATCCGCATCCTCATCCGCATTCGCATTCGCATCCTTATTCGGATTCCCATTCTCATCCTTGTTCTTCCGACGCGACGCTTGCCCTCGTCCTGAGCCGTGTACTCCGCTATGCATCGTCGCTTTTGTTTCACGTTTTTTTTACAATTCACAATTCACAAACAAGGCCGTGCGACGGAGCAATTTTTGCAACTGCACAGACGGAACGGAACTGAACGAAACGACACGAAACGAGCTACATTAAAATGGCTTTGAATGGCTTTGGTCGACAGCAGCCCCAGCAGCAGCAGCAGCAGCAGCAGCTTGGACTTGGACGCCGCCTTCGTCGTCCTGTCAGTGCAGCCGTCCTCTTAATCGCCTTGTCGCTGCTCAGCGAGCCGCTGATGCTGCCACCGGCTGCGGCGCAGCGTGACGAGAACGTGGGTTAATGAAGTGCTGGCTGTGATGGCCGTGCACTGCCACGCCTACTTAAGCAACAATTTTTAATTGCAGTATCCACCGCCGGGCATAATGAAAATGGCCAAACCCTTCCACGATTCCTGTGTGGAGAAAACGGGCGTCAGCGAGGGTGAGTAGTCGACCGAAAGTGAACCTGTAATTGCAGCAATTGAGATTGCCTCATTTGCACTCCTATTTGCCAGCGGCCATCAAGGAGTTCAGCGACGGGGAGATACACGAGGACGAGAAACTCAAGTGCTACATGAATTGTTTCTTCCACGAGATCGAAGTGGTCGACGATAATGGGGATGTACATTTGGAAAAACTTTTCGACACCGTGCCACTCTCCATTCGCGATAAGTTGATGGAAATGTCCAAGGATTGCGTGCATCCCGAGGGGGATTCGTTATGTCAGAAGGCCTGGTGGTTCCATCAGTGCTGGAAAAAGGCCGATCCCAAGGTACACCCCCTTACAATATGTCCTTGGGGCAACTGCATGCTCAGAGATCATTGTTTCTCCACAGCACTACTTCTTGGTTTGAAGCTCTACTGCTCTACTGGTTCTCGGACTAGCCCATTGATGGCCTCCAATATTTATATACGGGTAGAAGCCTAGTTTTAAATAAGTAGTTCTTTTTCATAGCTGTTGAGTAATAAACGTAGACGAGTTGCATGCAAGCGAACCTTTCAATTATTTGTCGCCAAAAGGGAAACTCTCACTGCGTTTCAAAGCATGCGGCAAAAAGGGCCCCACAAAGGCTCTCTCACACACGCTTTTGACATAATTTATTCCCATTGTGCAACAGAGAGTAGAGCTCTGTGTGTGTATGCCACAGCATATAAATAAAATTATGCGTAAAGTTTCCCAGGCTTGTTGACGCCGACAAGCGTGTTACGTGGCAACATTCACATACGAGTACGAGTTCGACTGTTTTGCGCTTTTTACTTTAAATTTTCAGTCGAATACAGGAAAAAAGGAAACATGTCAAAACAAATATTTAAACTGTTTGAAGGGCTCTGAGGGTCATTAGTCGAGGGGGGGAAAAAATGTTCAAATTGCAGTGCCAGAAAAACATAATACCTTACGCTTGAGCATTAATCATCTCGAATTGCACTGTACGGCAGGATTTCGTGGAGCTAACAATTATGAACCAAGCATTTATCAGTTCGCATGAGTATGCCGTATTAATACAACATAATGATGCGCAAAAGGCACTTTCATGAGTAGGGATTGACAGGAAATACATTCAACTGAAAGTGGGTATTGATTCCAGCTTAAATATGCATAAAACGTTCGCAGAATATGTAATTAATGCCCAGATTCTTCTTTAAAAACTATATGTACATTTACTCGTAAATAATAAAACATTATTATCGGATTCGCGGTCATCACTTTGGGTTCCCCCACTGCTCGGCTTTATATTTCCAGAGCAAAGCCATTAATTCTAATTTTTTCGAGTTGAACATTTCATTTATTTCATTGGAGTCGGTCATACGCGCTCTGGCACCTTTAATACCCGCCGCCGATGCCGGCAGTTGGGGTTTTGTGTTTGGGTTTGGGTTTACGGAAAGGGCCTGGGTGGGTTTTTTTTTATTGTTTCAACGACTTGTTGCGCAAAGCTCTTTATTTTGGAGTCAATGATTTATGTTTTCACTGGCACCCGCCCTCTGCTTTTATGCTCTTTTTATTATTTATGCGTATTGGTTTTCATTTTTCTCTTTCGCTTGCTTCAAAAAATGCGCTCAACTGTGGGGCGATGGGTTTTCCCACACCATTTTCATTCTTGCAACTGTTAAAAGAGCTTAGAGGAAGATCCTTTGTGCGCTGGCAAGCCTCATTATTGTCAGCTGGCGATTTTCAGTCGTCGGCGTTGTCATCATTACATTTCACTTAATACTAATTTCTTTTCCTGCTGCTGGCCTGCTGGGATATTTCCTTTGAACACACATCTGTCGTCCATCTCCGGACCGGGGCCCAACTAATTTGGTAAATTGAAAATTTCTTGACAGCCTTCAATGAAGTGTGGCCGAGGACACTTTACGTTCTGCGCTTCATTGAAGCCGGGATTGGGTATTTAGGGGGAAAGCGAACCGCTTTCGCTCCTCAATGGATTTCCACACGAGCAACTTGAGCCATTTAGGCAGCCAATTAGCTACCCAAATGTTGGTTAATTTCCTGGCTAGCATGTTTTCTTCCTAATGATATAATCATCTAATTGATTTGCCAGTGTCCAGTGCCCAGTGCCCTGGGCCGCTGTGCCATTGTGCTTTCCAGTTTCAGTGCTCCACAATTCACCGCGAATTTGCAGGCTGACCTGTTTGGGTAAGCATTTCATGCATTTGTAATTTGAAACTGACACAGTTGGCACAGCAGCAGCAGCCACGATTGGATTGG